TGCATTGCAGGCGAAAAAGTTAAAGCAGCAAAAAAAGTGAGTGCGATGAAAATATGTGCTATCCGCCGAGTTTTTAAACTAACTAGCGAATACTTTCATTTTTTTCCCCAAGTGCAGGGCAAGATACACAAGCATATCCGAACCCGGCTACTAGGGAAAGTATCTCAAGGACTAAGCCCATTAGCTCGCTGCTCTTGAACCTTTTTTCGCAGCGGGCCCTGGCATTTCTTTGCTTTGCCTGCTTTTGCATGAAAATGCTGCCAAAAAAACCGAGAAGAAAAAATAAATAAATAAAGAAAAAATGTAAAATACTTTAGCCAACATAAAGGGCTACTCTCGCACACACATGCGCATCTAGGATGGCAAATGTAAGTACAGAAACAACAAGCAGGCAGGCAGGCAGTCAGCAGTCTTCAAGCCGAGCAAGTCAAGTGTATGAAATGTAACAAAGACCTAACGAGAATTACAGCCTCAACATGCACATGTACGGAATAATGAGAAAATATCAAAAGTGCCCAGGCTCACGCACACACTTTGGACGTCGTGGACTTGGACTTGGTCTTCTAGGACCCAGAACCGAGAACCCAGGTCCAGGCTCAATGTCAACTTAAAGCCCTTGCAGCTCGACATTGCCGCCGGCCACGACATTGAGGTTGAGGGTAAAAAATGCCATTATTACGTAGGGTTTTTCACTCGCCGGGTTCTCTCTTAATTTCCTTTAAAGTGCCGTCATAGCAGAAAAAAAACTGACGCTAATGAGCTACTTAGGCAATGACTTAAGTCGTTATTGTGCTGCCGCATATCATCGCATTACACATTACATTACACACACGCACTGTTGGTTCGTAATTTGAGACTCGCAGAAGAACCCTTGCCAGTTTCAAGGTTTTTTGTCTTAACTACTCAAAACTTTCGCTGGGATTTTAAGAGGGGGTTTGGATGTAAAGTTCCTCTAGGGCCAAAAGCCGATTGATCCTGGCCATTTGTTGCTCCATTGTGTGATGGCTGGCTTTTGTGCCAGTTCGTTCCGTAAAATGGTATATAATATTCGATTAATATTTCAATAAAGTGTTTGCCCCTTTACGGATTATAATAAGGTCCATTGTGCGACCCTTTGGCACCGCACTGCACAAAGGACACAATGGCCGGCAGCTCCTTGGGGGTTGGGGAAGTGAATAATGAAGTTTCTTGGAATTAGAATTTCTTCTTCAGCTTGGTCTTGGGGCGCAGAGCCGAGCAGCCACTCCATTCAATAAGCGGCCTTTTGTATGTTTATTTGTAGATTTGTCGGAGCCCAGATTGAGGCACTTGCTGAGCAAAATTGCAGCCATTACGACGAAAGCGAACAATGCCAGTTGATTTTCGGGCCCCGCCGCGGGGCTCTGAATTATGCGTCCAAAAATAACATGCCACCCACGCACGCATATCAGGGATATACCTCATTAGGTTTCGGCATTAATCAGGCTGAGTCACCACCCACCGCCAGATGATGTCAATTAAATGCGTCCCGTCAAAATATTTACCCCCTTTCGCCCCGAGAAAAAACCCAAAAATAGTTCAATGCCGAGACAATCTCGAGTGGTTCGAAATCAGCGTCATCGCGCGCTCTAAAATGTTATTTTATTAATTAAATCGAGCAGGCAAGTGTCAAATCAGCGCCTCCGCCGCACAGCCAACCCGTTTTTCGCCACCTCCCCTGCGGCTTGTATTGCGGTTCAATGTGCGACGATGACGACGACAACGGCGACGGCAAACAACATTTTCGTACATGTCAACATGGTGTCATAATTAAAATGTTCACCAGGCCATGCCACTCGGCTCGCCGGGCCTCCTGCTCCTCATCCTCCTCCTCCATCAGCCCCTGTTGGGCCAGCAAATTGGAGGTTTTACATGCCTGCCCCCGGACAAGGCCAATGCCGACAGGCATTTCCTTTTCGAAAAATTCGCCGGGAGACATGCTTAATGATTGGACAGAGCTGAACCCATGTCCCGTTCACTGTCGCTGCACAGCGAAAATCAATTTCAATTGGGGCTTTCACTGGTAAAATCGTACCAGTTAACATTCCATAAACTATGTGTAAATATCTGCTGGTTATTAACATTTGAGATATAGCAAGTTACTAGATGGCGTATACAAAACCACCAATAACTTCTAAATTTAAAAATGTAATACCGAATTTTTAAAAAAATTTAGAAAATTATATATTTAAAATTGTAGCCGGAAACTAACCATTTTTTTAAGTGTTAGTATATTGATAAAATTGTAACAAATATCTGCTGTTGGATTTCAATTCGATAAATAGCGAATTTAAGTTTTAAAAATTATTTATAAATTAGTTTATAGTTTCTTTTCTATTTATTTTATATTTTATAATTTTATCTGAAGGTTAAAAATTTAAATGGAAATTATATCAAGTGTTAAAATTTGTTTAAATATATTATCATTTTAAATTATTAAATTTAAATACACATTTCCTTATTTTAATGCTAAAAGACTAAGATCTTTCAGAAAATATGGTTATTTAAAAAAAATAATCTTCTCTATGTAGTTTGTAGTTTGTAGTTGTCAGTTGGCTGATTGGTTTAGCGGTTGGCTCGGTAGCTGTGACATTTGTTGGCTAAAACGCCACCAAGCTAATTTGAGTGCCCCGCGATAATGATTGAGGAGCTAAGGGCGGTAATCGATGCCTTTGAGCGTTGCGAAAGAACAACAGAAACTCATGTTCGTAAGTGCAAAAGTTTTGTCATTATAAATTGCCATTTTGTGTTGTTTAGACTGCTTAAAAATTCGCTAAAAACATGTTTGTTCATTGGCCAGAGCCTCGGAACTTTATCCGGGCCACTTAGGCTTGATTAATGTGCCAGCATTTGCCGGCGAAACTGGACGCTGGCCATCGTAAATAAAAACGCTGCCTCCTCTGGATCCTCTGGCTCCTGGCCCACATTTCTGCCTTTATTGTCTCAAGGTTAATTTGAATGGCAAACTTTACGTAAGCATTCTTCTATATTAGGATACTTTATTTCGTTCTGCTCTCGCTCTCCACTCTATTATTATATTCTGCTACCATTTTTTTGCTTTCTTTTTATTTACTGTCCAATGAGTGTGTTTTGTGTGTGTTGGTCATTCGGCGGGAGGAAAGAGACAAATATAAATGAAAAAAAAATTAATCAAAAATTCTGGAGACAGGCGAGAGATACAGATAGAAATGATATGGAGGGGAATGCCCTGGGATATTTGCATTTTCCATTTTGCTCCGCATTTATCATGATTGCAATAAATAATATTGCGGTTTAACCCACCGCTGACCATTTTATTCACTGCTCCGCCATTTTTCTGCGTTTTTCTGCCAGACTGTTAAGTTTTTAAACGATTTAAATTGTTTGCGACTGCTGCCACTGAATTCGATTGCGCAAAATGGCCACTTAAAGCTGAAATTCCTCTGGGGCCAAAAGGCTAATTGTGTGCCAATAGCTGTCGGTGGGGTCAGTCAGTCACTGTGATTGAATGTTTCACTCGTTGGCCGCTGGCTCCGAATGGATGGGAGGGTGGTAGAGTGAGGTAGTGAGATTGAGTGACTGCATCGATTCGCCTTTGAAGGACGTTTTCAATTTGTGGCGAAAATTTAAAGAATTTTCCCGAAAAACAGGGCAGCAAGTACAGCAGTTTGTGGCAGCTCTACTGTGATGTGTTTTCTTGCCTTGGCCCCAGGAATTTCTCTTGTGAATTTTCCAGCTAGTTTGTGACGCTTTTCCCCCCTAGCAAACACTCACTCACACACACACACACACTCTTGTGTTTCGAGGGTTTGCATGTACATCGCAGAAATTCAAATTCAGCAACTGGCAGACCCGCATGATAATGCGCATATTTCTATGGATTATAGCCTACTTTTTGGGGCTGGCTTGGAGCCTTTTCGACTGTATTAGACAGTCGGGGCTTCGAGCTGGCGGAATTAGACACACTCGGAATGTATCCACCACTCATATGCATAAATATTTCTGCGTTTATTCTCTGCGTGACCCAAGAATCGAGGGATGGGTTGGGTTGGGTTTTTGGCTTGAATTGGGGGAAAAACCACCAAACGATCTGACAATTGTGCCGGCAACTTGCAAATTTGCATAGAAAGAGGCCGCAATTTTGCGCTTTGCATGTTGCTATTTGAGCATTTTAGCCATTCGACGCTTTATTGTTTGCAAATATGAATACTCGGCAACGATGGCATCTATTGACGTGCAAAAAGCGACTAAATTGGGCAAGGAAAAGTGGCTAAAAATAGCAACGGTGAATTGGTAAGAATTTAAAAAAATAAAACGTAGATATAGAAAAATTAGAATGATCAAATAATTATTGGTATATTTTTAGATAGGCCCATTAAAATTCTCGATTCAAAAAAAATCTTTTTTGGGTATTGCAAAATTATTTTCTGTACAAATAGACATTGCAAAATAAAATCGAAAGAGACCGCTATAGTCTTACTTGTCTAAATAAGTGCTGGGGAGTTGGAGATATGCATTCAGCACTGCTTGAACTTCATTATTTGCTCATAACTTGTTATTTAATAATCCGATTTGAAAAATTTCTTCTACATTTTGATACACACAATAAAATTTCATTTATTCTTTTCCATGATCTTTGAAAATGTGTGCGGTAGACACATTTTACTCTACTAGTTAGGTGTATAATAAATAGTTTAATGAAGAGAAAAAAGGCCCACAACAATTAAACAAGAGTTTTCTAAACAAATGTACCTTATGTGTGTCTACAATAAATAGCGTAAGGTCGATAACATAATAAATAAATACCCTCCATTCATTCCCGATCAACCAGAAAATAGCCAATCCGGCAGCACACATAATGCCTTTCAATTCCACAAGTACAACCACAACCCGCTTGTATTTCCATTGTTCGATTGTCGGTGGGGCAGCGTCAATTGCCGTCAATTGGCGTCAATTTCGCATGGGATGTGGATTATTGCGGCTTGGCACTTGGGAGCACTTACCGAGCACTTGGGCAGCGGTCCCTCCGGCGTCTTCACCTTCCAGCCGAGGAGCGGCGGTATGCAGATGAGGGCGGACATTATCCAGACCGCCGTGATCATGACGGCTGCCCGCGCCGGCGTCCTTGACTTCAGATAGTCGACGGCCTTGGTGATGCTCCAGTAGCGATCCAGCGAGATGAGGCAGAGATTCATGATCGAGGCGGTGCTGAGCAGGACGTCCATCGCCGAGTGGATGTCGCACCACCAGCTGCCGAAGATCCAGTAGCCCATCAGCTCGTTGGCCAGCGAAAAGGGCATGATGATGAGGCCCAGAAAGAAGTCGGCCACCGCCAGCGAGGCGATGAACCAGTTCTGTATGTTCTTCAGCGACTTCTCCGTGGCAATGGCTATGATCACCAGCATATTGCCCACCACGATGATGATCATCAGGATGGTCACGATAACGGAGGCGATCACAATGTGGGTGAGCGTATAGCCACTGGGATAGTGGCCATCCCAGTGGACTTCTGTTTGATTCGGATTGGTTAGATTTCCGGATGTCGCCCCCGAACCGCCGCTCTGATTGTAATATCCCGCCGCCATCTGAAGGCTGCTGTTGTAGAAGCTGCCATTCAGAAAGAATATCGTGTCGTTCACATTGATATATCCCAATCCCGATCCGGATCCGGATCCCGGGGGCAGGGTCAGCTGACCATCGACACTGAGCAGGGGCGGATTGAGGGTGGCATTATCTGGTTTTCCTGTCGTGAATACGGCCAGAAAGTCATCGGTGCTGATGTTGCCCGTATTGATGTTAGCATTCAGTCGGCTATAATCCATTGTGGTGATCTGAATCTGCATTCGTCTAACTAACTCTGTGGATTCCAGAGTCTAGAGTCTGATTGGTCCCATGCTGCCGGTGTTTATAATTAAATCTTATTGCGCGCGAAATTCCAATCGATTAAATCCTAATAATTTAACTAATTCCTATAGCATATATAGCATAGCATTCGAATATTATTTCGATTATTTATACCCGTTTTGCACCGAAACTTGTGTGCGAGCGACGCGTTCTGCGGCGAAAACGCGAGCTTCTTTCCTCTATGTATTTATTTATTTTATGTTTTGTTTTGGTTTGCTTGGTTTTTTGTATTGTGGTTTAATCAATTAGAGTCTACAGTATGTACAGTGTTACAGTGGATACACGGACACTTATTATGACAGAGACGCGAGTAGAAAAGGCTGCTGGCTATTTACAGGAGGATGGCATTGTGGCTTGGCCGGAACACGATCCCATCGATCCGGCTCACATGGCGTATGCGTTACGGGTCCGCCTCTGGCCGACTCATCAGTCAGACATTCCGCACGCTGGCATTAGCAATTAATTGAATAACTTGTGATTTTCCACTGAAACCGAAAAATAAATTGTGCGGATCCCTGTGATGGATGCTGTTTTTGTTCCGCTTGATATTCGATTTTAGATTCTTCTAATTTCTTATGTTTATTTACACAAAAACGCGCGACCCGCGATTTCGGCCCTCAATCAGGCGTTGGCATTTTTTGGCTCTGTCGTTGAGAGGAAACTGTTGCCGTGTCGGCTAAATTTGGTTGGATCTTTTGGCTTCTGTCGGCTACTTGGCCAATGGGCGCGCCCGGAACACGTTCGCACCGCTGGAACTGCACATCCTAACTGAACGCCATCCGCTGGCGCTTTCATCGCTGCCCAGTTTGCTACCAAAATCGCCGTCCACAATTGTCAGTTTGCCGTTCGTGTGCGGCTGCCTTCGTTCGTTTGTTGTCGTTTTTCCACCTAGGGAAATTCTCTCTCCCTCTCTGTGTTTCTCTCTGATTTTCCGACGCTCTTTCGGGTTCCGAAATCATCCAACTTGTGGGTGTCGTTTTCCATGTGCGGGCTCATTTGAAATGCTCATCTTGAGTGTCCCGCACTTGCAGTGGTCGCCTTTGTTTACCTATTCCATTGGCAAGTGTTGCGGTGTCAACAGATTAAATTTCTGGCTAAGCAAACAGTACAGCAATATTTTGCTCGAATAAATAACGCAGCAGGCAAATATGAACAAAAAAGCAATTATAAAATGTTAATATTTACCGTGTACTTCGTTTATGGCGGTCAATACCATTATATCATTGCTTATTAAAAGAAACACTGCTAATCGAAAGTGCCATAAAGGAAAAAATAATCAAGGAAAACTATTTTTTTATGATTAATGTAAGAAAGAAATACAAAATATAAACGATTAGATGGTCTAATAATAATTTAAATATATTTAAAGCGGGTATACTGATAAAGTGACAAAATGTTGTAATACCAACAATTAAAGCCCATCTATTATTTAAAAAATGGTGTTTAATAATATCTGCAAACAAAATAGAAAATATTTATTTACATGAGGAAAAACTAAATGCTTTTTAAGCACACATACTTTTTTTTTTTTTATCTGCTAAAAAAGATAAAATACTATATACAACTAAATAAATAAAAGACTTTAAACACTTTTGAGTAGATTCCGTGCAATATAGATCAGAGCCTATAAAATTGGTCTAAGAAAGGACTTTCTAATTTGGATATTAGATCAATACAATGGTAGCATCATTATCTCATTTAACCCATTCAATTTCGATATCGTATTCCTCTTGTTTTCCTCCGCTTGTTGCCACTTACAAGCAAGCCATGTTCCACAAGTGCAATTTCATTTTCCGCTCTCCAAATGATTTCGCAGGGAAATTCTCTCCGGCCATTCGGTGTTCCATTTGCCAAAACATTCCCCACTGTGTTGCGCTCTGTTGTGCTTTGTTTGCCTTTGTCCCAGTGGCCTAAACCAAAAACCGAAACTTATTTTTGTGGCAGCACTTTTCACGTTTTGCCATTTTTAAGAGGGGGGTTTGAATCTTTTTTTCCCTCGAAGAGCCCTCTCGGATTTGTGCATATGTTTGCCAAGGGTTGCTGCTGGCCAGATTCGCTGGCCATGTTTGCGCGTTGCTACCTTTTGTTTACATTTTCGTTTTAACCCACATACGGGCCCCGGTTATCAAGGCAAATGTTGGTCGCTGGGCCCGCCTTTAAACACTTCTCAAGGGGGTTGGTAGGTGGGTGGGGGATGGCCAATAAAAGCGTAATGAAGCCATCCACCTGCAAAAGGTGTGCGGGCATTGAAAAGGAAGGAGGCCCATCAGAACAGCCAACATATCAGGCACATTATGCGCGATAGTCACGTCTGCTGGGCACATAATTGAAAAGCGAACTTGAGCGTATCAATCGGGCAAACAGGTTGTTACTGCTTTGCTCTGTTCCTCGCTGGCTGCTCAATGAAATCAGCTAGAAATTATGATAATGAAAAAGGCGAGAGCTCGAAGTTCTGCACCCTCGCTGCTTGGGTTTTTATATGAAGGTGGTAGGTGGGTAGGTACAAACACCCATCGCCTTGTTCATCAAGTGTAGACAGTGCGTATGAGTTATTTGATTATGTTAAGCATACGTCTTGGCGCTGCCGCGCATAATTTCAAATTACACGCAGCACACATCAGCATCTCAGCGCCTTGGCATCAACATAATAAATCCGAAAAGGCCGTTGCCTGACAAACAAGCTAAGGCCAACTCCCCACATATATGTACGTAGTACGTCCTACATACATATGTATATGCACCCACGCACTCGGCAGAGTGACAAATTCCGGAAACAACAAGCGACAGCAGCAACGACTCGGCAGCGGGCACTCATCTTCAATGCATGGCGGAAGATTGCTTGTCAAGCTCTGATTATGTTAACTGCCTACGAAGGTACCTGTGCCGGATTGCCAGCGATGGCGGAGTCCAGGGTCCTGATATCACTCAGATATGCCCGAAACAGAGCCAGAGGTGATGAAAGACGTGGGATTTCTTAACCTCCAGTTTTCCAGAAACGTTTTAAGAACATAAATTGGTACATAGTAGTATAAAACGTACACATTTAAAACCTATGTAAACTTTTATATACTTAGTTTATGCTACGATTTTAAGTCATTTTCGACACAGACGATTTCATGAAAAGTCAGTTTCAATTACAATTTTATTTTAAATATATTACAATTAACTACAAAATATTGGTTTACACAATTTTAACCAAAAGTCAGAAATAAAGTCAGAAAAGTCAATATAACTTACAACCCAATTAAAGCCGAGTGCGAAATAAATACTTTGCATATATTGTAATAATAGTTTTGGAATCTGCTATATTATTTTACACCCATTCTGAAACAAGACCCTTCTCAATAATTAATCCACTTTTTATTGTAATTTTGAGCACTCCCTGAATTGGTGACTTGCAGTTTGGACTGTGTTCTTAGTGCATTGCAGCCTCGGAAAAGACACCAGCTCCAAGTGCGCATACATTAAATTATATGCACATATATCAGAGCTGCCACTGCATTTGCTGTCGCTGCAATTTCTCCTGCATCACGCTCTGTGCCGATGGCAGAGCTCTCCTAATGGAAGACGACTGGCATTCCCATCCAGATCCAGAACCCCACAGAACGGAACTGCATTGAGATTTGTCCTGGCACTCGCCTCGTCCATTGTTGTAACTGCTCTAAATCCACTTTTAATTCGCCGCACGTTTTCCATAATGAAATCGGATTTGTGGGCCGTGGGAAAGTGTGGCAGACAGCGAAGAGGAGGGTGTGCGCCATAAATTGAGCACTCAGAAGCACGCTGCGCTTTGTCACGGTCCAAAATGCTGCGACTACAGCGACTACAACTGCGACTGTGCGGAGAAAGGTCCCGAAAATGTGTCATGGCGGCTAATGCCGCATTTTGAGGAATGCTCAAATGCAGCGCACACTAATGGCAGCAAATATATTATGCCCGCTTATCATTCGCATTAGCTGGCAAAATTGTAGCTAAGAGATTTTTCGCATGCACGCGGTGGGAGCCAGCAGAAAAAACGAGACAGAGATGAAAAATACAAATTTTAAATGGCAGCCAGGCAGGAAATTGCGCTACTCATACGCACCGTGGCCCCGTCTGTTGCATTATCTTAATTTAAAAACTCGCTACAGCTACGAGCTGGCTGCTCGTTTGCCGTGTTTTAGTTTCATTAGCTTGGCTGAAAAGCCATTTATCAAGCTGTCAGCGCCAATTATTTATATCCCTCTCGCAGCACGCGGAGAAATATTATAGAAATATTATCATGGCTTGGCGGCAAATAAGTGCGTCGGATCAATCCGCGTTTGGCGTTAAATGGAATGGCAATCGCTTGGCATTAAATGCGCAACAAAATTAAATTAATTGCCAACCTTTTGGCCCCGCTCCTCGCTGCTGTTTATCGCCGAACAATTTAAAGTTTTAATCTCTTAACGCATTTAACCGAAGGGCCCGAGGCTCTGCTGGGCGGCATTAGCCTGGCAATTAACCATCAGAAGCATGACTTTGGGCAACATGTGCCGGCAATGCCCAACTCACTTGATCCCACATAGCACGGTGTGTTATATACGCTCCGGTTGGTCCGACATTCAGGAAATTCGAGGCCTACATGGGTCCACAGGAAGTGCATAGTTGGCAGCCATATCGCTTGGCAGGAGCCTTAAATCTCTCTGTCTCTCTCTTGCCATCTACCACTCTGTAAGCCAGTCAGGCCAAAGTTTCAGGGCCAAGTTGTCATAAAATTTATGCGTCTAATTACTTGCACTTTTTGTGCTGCCAACTTTCTCTTCTTGATGGACCCATCGGCGACGTCATTTATTATTTTTATGTACACAGCGAACGTTTTATTGACACGACGGGCGATTGGCTCCGGGTCTAAGTCAATAAGGCAGCGACAACTGAAAAGACTGAAACGACTTCTTGGCTAAAAACGGGGGGGCTGTCATTAATCTTTCGTTTTTGGCCAAGTTGTGCAGCTAATTGCGCCATTTCCATAGGTCTAGCCTCCAGTCAGGGTCGTTTGCTCTCCCCTTTTCCCTCTTACCCATTGCTGTCTCAATTTTCCCCAGTCCCTTTGCAACGGTTATTCATATTTCCATGGCCAGTGACCCAGTCCTGGTCAACTAAGTATTTACAAAGGGGCCCTCGCGACTTTAATGCCCGGAATGTTCGTCTAAATTTTGTGCGAACCGGGACGAAATAAACAAAGCGTCAGAAGGAAGAAAATAAAATATACTGCTGGTGGTACTGCGGCGACGGGCCAGGTAAAATAATCGGGATTATTTATGTGGCTCGGCAGAAATTTGCTTACATATTACACTTTTTCAACATTCTTTTAATTAGCTGCGCCGACAACAAAACGAAAAGTTGCAAACAAAAGCGGCGCAGCACAAATGCTGGGCCTGAGTTGAAAAACAGGTAGTAGCTGGTAAAGAAGGAAGAGGGTTTTTCGGTGGATGGTTGGATGGTCGGATGGCAGTGGGTGGTTGGGTGTTTCCCAGTGGGAGGCGGTTGGTCGCTTTGTTTCGCAGAACGCACCGCGAGCCATGAAAAAGCTTGGACTTGCAAATAAAGTAGCGGCGAAACGGGAAGCCAAACGAGACGAAGCAAAGACGGACTTTTTGGAGAATCCGCTGGCAGGCTCCTCAATGCAGTCAAAAACAAGAGAGAACGCTATAGTCGGGTGCCCCGACTATCAGATACCCGTTACTCAGCTAAAGGGAGAGCGAAGGAGATGGAGATAATTGGCTTAACTCGTGGGTTAAACTTTGATCT